GAGTTTGAATATTGTGGGCCAAATGGAACTTAAGTTATGCTCCGGAAACCAAATTGCTAATGGACGGACAGACGGACGGACGGTCGCCAAGGGGCATAACATAATATGTCCGAAATTCTTTCGGGCATAAAAAACGGACTTTGATGGTCAACTTTGACGCCATGTGTACAAAAATGGCTGAAACAAAAGGAATATAGTCAACTTTAAACATGCCGGAACGGAGGAACATTCCACAGAGAACTATGAAATGTCCACGAGACAGAGGTGTATGAAAGTTATACAAGCTCAGGATCTTAACTGTTTAAAACAGTACTTATTCTGAGATAAGTGCTGTGATAAAACAATAATTTCACATCATCGTGTTGTGAATTTTGCGTTTTATTCTCTGTTTCACATGCTTTACTTCTGTTAAATTTTATACTTTTTCATTCATTACCTACAATAAAATTTTTACAATTGAGAGGTTCATTTATCTAAACTCTTAGATGTTCATTTATCTAAACTCTTAATTTCATCAATAATCATTCTTTTATAACCCAAATACACTTAAAAGTGTTGCGTTAGAAGTCTTTAGTTTAGACGAACAATTTGGTGCATAAAACTTTTTGGCTGACATAGACCGACTTTGGCAGAAATGTTAATCATGAAATATTGTACAGAACGCAGATTTAGGCTTCACCATAGCCTGGGTTCTAGTCTGTCGACTTTTTTATGTCCTTCTGTTTGGGAAATCGACATTAATATGATGGAAACAGAACAAGTATATAATAGAGTGTATGTTATGAATACATGTGTAAGCAAAAGATATCAACGCCGGAATCCCAGGCTAGTTTCACCAGACCATGGTTAAAATCCTTATTTTGAGTACATATCAAAGTGAGAAAACTTTAGTTTCTAGAATAGATAATTTGTAGTGCTAAATGCCAGCAGTTCAAACGAATGAGTAACGATTCATCACACTAACGATTCGCCACATAACGATTGGCCACAGAGTAAAACGATTCGCCACAGTTAAATAACGATTCGCCACAGTATGATTATAATAATGATTTTTTAGTAATCAACGACCCATATTCAAACTTGACCTAGAAATCATCAAAACAACCTTTCTGACAAATTTCCAAAATATTTGGATCAAAACTGCAGCCACTACAGTGTTAACAAGCTTAATCTATTTTTAGCTCCTGTGACCTAGTTTTTGAGCGGAGATGACCAATCTTCGAACTTGACCTAGAAATTATCAAAACAACCTTTCTGACAAATTTCCAGAATATTTGAAACAAAATTGCAGCCACTTTATAGTGTTAACAAGCTTTTTCAATTTTTAGCTCCAGTGACCTAGTTTTTGAGCGGAGATAACCAATCTTCGAACTTGACCTAGAAATTATTAAATCAACCTTTCTGACAAATTTCCAGAATATTTGGATCAAAACTGCAGCCAGTATAAATGTAAACAAGTTTTTTCTATTTTTAGCTCCTGTGACCTAATTTTTGACCAGAGATGACCCATCATTGAACTTGATCTAGAAATCATCAAAACAACCTTCCTGACAAATGTCCAGAATATTTGGATCAAAACTGCAGCCACTAGAGTGTTAACAAGCTTTTTCTATGTTTAGCTTAGACCTAGTTTTTGACCAGAGATTACCCATATTCGAACTTGACCTAGAAATCATCAAAACAACCTTCCTTAACAAATTTCCAGAATATTTGGATGAGAACTACAGCCACTAGACTGTTAAGCTTTTTCTATTTTTAGCTCCTGTGACCAAGTTTTTCATCAGAGGTCACCCATGATCGAACTCATCAGAGATATTATTGAGACAGATATTCTGACAAAGTTTAATGATGATTGAGGAATAAATGCGACTGCTAGAGTGTTAACAAACTATATGTTGACGGACGACGGAAAATCCTCGATCCTAAAAGCTCACCCTGAGCACACCCTGAGCATGCTCAGGTGAGCTAATAAAGAAATTATGCTATATTTGGTGGTAACTCAACTGTATAAATCAATACTTTAAACAATTGAAATTTTTATTACAATTCACTACAAAATACAAAATAACAAATTGCTCAAAATAGAAGTTTGGCCAAAAAGCCAATGTCAATAATGAAAATTACAGAAACTCAGCAAAATTGATATTACACATGTTGTTAACACAAATTAAAAATTTCAAGACTCGTAATCGTATTGTAAGTGTAACATATGTACATGTATCTACAAATTACATCTAAATACATGAACTAATAAGATCAGTGATCACATGTAAAGTTTCACTTAATTTGTATAAGTAATCAAAGAAAATAGCTTACACAAAACTGTAAAAGTGTAGCAGGAGACATCATTAACAAGCAAAAACACTTTAGGGACTTTACTAAAATCATTATTCAAAAAACCCATGTAATATGCACAAGTGCTTAAGGTACAGATCAATCTTGTAAAGTTTAACTCAAATTGCATAAGTAGTATAAGAGAAGAAGTGCGTACAAAACTTTATAACATAAAAATAATTAAAAGGCCATAACTAACAAAAAATATTTTTACACTGAACTAGAAAATGTTAATGACATGCACAACTTTACTTGGTATGGATCGTTCCTGTAAAGTTTGGATGAAATTGCACTTCTGAAATTAAAACTGATGAAAATATTATACAGTCTGGAAATGTCATTCAATTTCAAATTTCAATTTTTGTTCACCACAATTTACTACCAGTAAACAGCCATTTACATGTATTTTATATATCATGTGCATTTAAAAAAACATTAAGCTAACTAATTCTTTTTACACACATAAAATAACATAGCAAAATTAACAATTGCTAAAATAAAGCATAAATTACAAAAAAAATTGTATGATTTTTAATACAGTATTGGATGAATACATACAAAAAATATGTAAACAAGTAATAAGTTATTTAAGTTAGTCTTGAAAGCTTAACCTTACAGAAACAATCTAAAAACTGTTCCTAAAACAAACTTGTAGCCCGAGGTTATATGATATCACGGTACTTAACATTTATAGGAAGATATTCAAATATAAATATCATGTATAAACGTAAATACTGTGATATCATAGAACCCGTGATATCATAGGAACAGAGTGTACTTATTAATTAGTGCAGAGTTTATTGCTCAAAATAAAATGAATTCCCTCGAAGGAGGTTGGAACTTGTAGTGAATTGTTCTATTATATCATATCATGTTAAAGTCACCAATAATGATGTAAATTAAAATGATATGTATAATATTATAAAAGTACATCAAACTTAATTAATTTGCTGATTATTTTGGGTTTTTTTTAACAAAATATAATTACATGACTGCATGAACGGCATATGGTACCTGTTAATGATTCTTCAAACTCTATGTATAAAAGTATTCTAAAAATTTGATTCTGGTCAAGACATTTTTTCAGTCATATGATATATATAATTTATTGAAATAAGCCTCTGTCAAGATGTTCGAAAAAATACATCTGTTACTTAAAATGCAAAGGTTACATACTCTGACTATTTATAATACTGCATGTCTATAATGTCACTTTTAATTGGATAATCACAACGTTTATATAGTTTTATATACACGGCTGCTGTCAATTTATAAAGAAATCTTACTTTTTTCTATAAAAAAGGTGCTTGCTGTATTATAAATTCCTTATAAATATTCCTGTCAGCTCGGGTTATATTTCCAAACAACCGTTTATATAGGGCCATAATTATAACCTGTCGAAAATCTTTATAACTACTAGTTTACATCAAAAGATACGAAGTAGAACTACTTTTTATCCTTTTTATTTCCAAGGTCATTATTTGTAATCAAGAAAGTTGTCTTTTACAATTTGATAGCATGTACTAGGGCTATAAATGTGTGAAAATAATTGTTCAACCATGCTCAACCTCTGCACGATATTTTTCTGGTATTTTAGTTTGTGCCTTCAGCGAAAATATAAATACTTAAATAAACATTATGCAAAGTCCATACTAAGCTAACAAATATTTTTACACATTAATGAATATGTATATATCTTAAAAATTGTAAAAAAAAACAAATGATATAATAATATTGAAATAAATCAGTCAATGCAGTGAAACACAGATACCAAAACCATCACACAAAGTGAGTATACATGTAGATACAGGAAGTTAGATCATCACTGAATCAGAACAATTGCATAATCTCCATTTCAATCCAATATTTGAAAACTAATGTCAGGCCATTCAATATAAGTGGGAAACAAACAAAAGCCCTCCCGTGTAAAATGACAGGGCGGACAAAAGCATTCCCTTGAAAATAGCTGGGCAGACAATAGCCTTCCCGTGAAATTAACAAGGCAGACAGTAGCCCTTCATAACAAAAATATATATGTTTGTTAAATACCTGTATTTTGCATTGAGAAGAAAAAATAAAGTATTCAAGTTACATACATGTACTTGCTGTGGGAGGGCTTTTGTCATTTTCACGCTTTGTCCTTTTTAGACAGAAGGGCTTATGTCTGTGAGGGCTTTTGTCCTATATAACTGTCTTGCCTTCTGACAGTTCGAAACTTAACAATTTTTTTCTTGGAATGCTCTTTGAATGTCTTAGGCAATATACAAACTTAACAGGGTGGCAAACTATTATGTTGACATGGACAAAGTGTAAACTGTCAGCATAATATTGTAAAAACAGTCCAAATAGAGGTAGGTATTTTGTGAATACTGCACTCTTTAAAATGAATAGATTTTCTTTAAATAAAAGAGAATAAATCTCTGCACTTCAAATAAAAAAGAACAACCCTCTGCAAAGTTCTTTCTTTAGTTGTTAGGAAAAGTAGAGACTTGACGCAGTGAAAAGCAACCAATGAAAAGACTTTCTATGTGAGGGTTAATGCACTGTATTGAGATCAAATCCATTTAGTATCAAAAAAAGGAAACCAAGTTTATTTTTACAACTTTCTGCCACGCATTTTACCCAATATTGACAAGGGTTTGCCATCCTGTCTTTGTATATACCACAGACATTAAGCTTTGATATGTAAGCTATGTTTCCTTATTATCAATCACAACTTCCATCAGCCCAGCCGTCTCTCCACCTTTCATTGACACGGCTACAGTCAAACTTGGGTTTCCCGAGTTTTACATTCACTATGTTGTGCATCTTACACAGCCACTGTGATAAACTATCTTGACTTTTCGTCTCTGGCTTGTGCTGTTTCAAACTGAAATCAAAATGTATGATTTAATATATTGTTGAGTATTTATAAAATGACTGTGTTACGCTGTAATATATGTTATATATATACTATTTTCAGCAGTCTGAAACACAAATTTGTTTAACTGGGTTTTAAGGGAGTGGCACATTGAAGACACTGGTCATATAGCCATTTTTAAGCTGAACTTGATGAACTGGTCAACCTTTCCCCAGTATTGCTCTGTATTATTTCATTTTACCATAGAACAAAAAGAGATATGTATTGTTTCATTTTACCATAGAACAAAAAGAGATGTGACAGGTTACACATTTTTTATTACTTTCACAAGCAATACCATCATGCTAAACATACATGCCACAGAATGATGTATATGTGTGTGACCACATATTTGAAGCTGATTGATCATTTATACTAAATCCAAGAAAAGTAACTGACAAATACTTCTTTTATTAAGTTTTTACTGTATACATACAGGGTGTCCGTTTGACCCTTGAAATGACTCTTTGACCCTTCAAATCTCCAAAAGGCCTTATTTGACCCTCAGGATTTTAACTGGTGGGTCAAATTTTGTTAAAATCATGAGAATTTGACCTTGTAGTCAGTAGAACTTGTCAAAATGACACTCAGGATTTCATGGCTAGTGACATATAAAAAAAAACATGTCCCCCAGGCCAGGGCCAATTATGTCCCTAGGGCCATATGTTGAACAATCTATGTCAAGATCTGTAAAGTTATGTTTCATTCCAAAAAAGTTTTTACTATACATACATGTATAAGGTCATAATTTAAACAATCTTGGTAGATATCCATTTCTCCATGATTCATGCAAAATAGGTAAGCTCTAGCTCTAGGTTTTCAGAGAAGATAATATTTTGAAAGTTTTACTTATAACAAAATACATACAATGTATAAGAGAAAACCCATGAACCCCTCGGGGCAGGCAAATTTTGACTGTAGTGATATTGTTGTAGTGAACAACTTTGGTAGAGGACCTCTATATCATATGTTATATACCACAAAACAAAGTTCTAGGCCTTGTACTTTTTAGACAAGATTTTTGAAAGTGGCATCTCTTAAACTTCTATTTTGGCCCTGTGACCTATTTATACATTCAACCGGCTCAATTTGAACAACTTTGATAGAGGACCACCCAAGGATCAGAGGACCACCCAAGAATCATTCCTTTGCAGTTTAGTTAATATCCAGTCAATGGCTTTGGAGGAGATGTTGTTTAAATAAATTGCTGACAAAGAAAGCCTGACAGCACCTGACAGTGGGTGATCACAATAGCTCACACTAAGCATCTTATGCTCAGGTGAGCTAAAAATAAATGGTAGTTTCACACACTCATTCCTGAAGTCTTTAGCACAATAGTCACATGGATAGAACTTTGAGAATAGATGCATAAAGTCTGTCATGTCCTGTTGTTGTTGTTCTGAAGGTTTCTGTGGGTAGTTAGCAGCCATTGTATGCAGAAATGACCATGTATTACGACCAAGTTCATCTTTATCCACAGGACAATCTTTGTGCTTAGTTTCACTGGCATTTCCTGATAGTGTAGATTTGGATGAATTTGCTGTATTGTCCTTTTTCTGAAATAAATAAAAGGCTTGTTTTCATAATTGTCATAGTTTTCTTTTGGTCAAAATAGCTAAAACATTCATCGAATCCAGGTCAGCTCGGCCCTAAAACGTACTCGGCCCCCGAGTATTTGAAAACAGGGTCGTTCAAATAGAAGTTACTTTGATGAAAATAAGTCTATATGAAAATATCTATAATATTAACATGAATTTTCGCAAGTATATTTATACATATTAAACTTCTGTTCTTTATTACTTTAACTAGATAATGCACAGACAAGGTATTTCTATTTGATAGTACGTTATATATATTTTTGTAAAGTGGGCCGAGTTGACCCGTGCCGAGTTGACCCGTGCCGAGTTGGGAATCCGGGTCAGCTCGGCCCTAAAACGTACTCGGCCCCCGAGTCAGCTCGGCCCTATTCCAACTCGGCACGGGTCAACTCGGCTCACTTTTTAATTATTAATATTTAGGTTTATGTTATCACTATTTATTGTTATTATTGTAATTATTTATAAAACACGGATTGACAGTTTCAGAACTAGCAGCAGACAGGCTTTTCTTATCAGTAGAATTGCAAGTAAAGATAACCGATTGCGTATCTCACTGTATTTCTGACTCGTGGTAGGTTTAACCGTAACTTTAAATACCTTCAGTGTCAAACAATGTGTTGAAAAATATACTGAGAGGAAGCTAAGATCATCAGCTTTTAATTGGTGTAACAAATTTTAAAATAGGACATTTAATCGCCCCAAACTAGCGATTTAAACACGGCTAAATTTGCATTCTTTTGCAAGCGAAGGGAAACTAAGGGAAACAACTCTTGCTTTTTCACTCAATATACCTCGGTTATTTACGTAGTTCGTCAGAGAGAGTTTATAAATATAATACAAATAAATAACAATTTTTTTCTAAATATACTTTATTTCGACAGAAGTACAATGTATAATTTTATAATAATAAGATTATTCTTATTATTCATTTACCTTAACTTAACAACATGCAAAGTAAATTTAATACGTTATATATATTCTTGTAAAGTGGGTCGAGTTTACCCGTGCCGAGTTGGTATAGGGCCGAGTTGACTCTTTTCCCCCCCGAGTTGGTATAGGGCCGAGTTGACTCTTTTCCCATTCATCAGTATCTGAAGTCTACCAGTTTTGGAATAAATTATTCTATGAAGGCAGAGTCAATCATTGTCTTTAGACAGTCATTTAAGCTGTCTCTAAACCTTTTTCAAAATTATACATTTTATTTAGATTTATTACTATTCATGTCCCATGTCATGTGGCCACAGGGGTATGGGTCATTTAACATTCACAAAATATGTGTGTGATAACCGAAAACATTTATCCAAAGTTAAAAGTTTCCTTAAGTGATTAAACAGTAAAAGGAATGTTAAGAGAAATTTGACATATTTTTCGTGAATTGCATCAGCAGATCAGTGTCGGAGACTCTTGACAAGTACAAATCTAAGACAAATGACATAATATAAACCTTTCTTGGCTTCCCATATAACTTCACCCACGTCTCTGTATCGAAACAAGCCCTACTCCGACATTCAGGATCATTAGGGTCAGTTGGATTGAAAGGTGAAAACCTTTTCTCGTCACTAGGCGCTGCCATTACTAACCAGTCGTCCTTCAACGAAGATTGTAACGTTTAAATGACACTGATCAAATTCAGGTCTACTTGATTATATTCCATTCATATCTGCCCCTGTTACATGGGAAAAGAGTCAACTCGGCCCTTTACCAACTCGGCACGGGTCAACTCGGCACGGGTCAACTTGGCCCACTTTACAAAAATATATATAACGTATTAAATTTGCTTTGCATGTTGTTAAGTTAAGGGCCGAGCTGACCCGGATTCGTTACATGTATACTACATTTGTACTTGATGAATACTTAATACTGTACTGTATCTACTGAATTGGCGCATTTTAAGCCAAAATATCCCTTAAAAAGTTTAAGGACATTTATATACCTTTCCTTCTATAAAATTTACGAGAAGGATGAGATACCCCTCAATGATCTATGTTCATTCATAAATAGTATTGTCTGGGTGCTTGGAGACTTCAAAATGCCAAGCATCAACTGGTCAACAGAATTCCTGATAGAAGGATGTAAGTTCTTAAACTTATACACATCTTTCCTTGAAATCCTCATTAACTTAATTAAACCTACAGCAAATGGTGTAAGGGGTAACAATGTCCTTGATATGTTCTTCAAAAACATGCCTTCCCATGTACATATATAAAGTACAAAATCCTACATGTAGCTCCGATTTACAGTCAAATCGGCCCCAAGTCAGATTTGCTCCAAGTTGAATCGGCCCCAAAATAGTCAAATTGGCCTCAAGTGAAATCGACCTCAAGTAAGATCGGCCCCAGTTTTTTTTCTTTATGCATTTTTCATTTTATTTTTTTAAATGTTGCATGCATATTGATAAAATCAATTGCGTGGATGGGAATACCTAATATAATGATCATTGACTGATAATTGATCATGAAAAATGTGTATAAACCATGGCTTACAAAGAAAACAAGAACAAAACATATAATAATCAATCAATTTATTGTCTGAGTATAACAATTTCAACACTTATCTTCACTGTACTATAAACATATGAAACAGTATACATGTAACTGTATGAGGCATATGAGTTTTTTTCACATGAATTATTGTCACTTTTTATCACTGAACATTACTCTGCTTCTTTGTCCACACCCTGGGTTGGTAAAGACTTGAAATCTTCTTCAGCGGTGCCGTTGCTGAAAGTTTCGTACAAAAGCTTCAATCATAAAAATTAAATGAAAGTATGAAAAAGTCAACAATTATAATATAAATGTATATTCATTTAAATGATATTATACAAATTAGAAATTTATATGAATTATATTTATATTGTATCATACACATTTTTCATGATCAATTATCAGTCAATGATCATTGTATTAGCCTCTGTTCAAATATTTTACTAATGAAATTCAACTTGGCATCGAAAAAAAATGGTCGTTATGTCACACACACACAAAAAGATAAATCACATTTACCTGTTCCAAGCTTGAAATATCTGCGACTGCATAGATCGGTAAGTCTTTCGTTGCATATCTGGCATTGGTGATGCTGACGGCGACTCGTCAACATATGACCTGTAATGTAAAAAAATTATCGTTACTTTTCATAGATATAAATATCATCTTTATACTTAATAATTAATTACTTGTAAAAATGTATTGATCAATATTTATTGTCCCCTTACTTTTTTATAAAAGAAAACGTTTGTAGTATCATACGAGAATATATATTAATAAAACATTTTCAGTTTTTTAGTATCATCATTATTTATTTAATGTCCCCATTTTTTTATGATTTAAATAATTATAATTTAAATTAAAAACTACTCTTTAAAAAAATTGAATTTAGAAATAAAAATGTTTTTATTTTTATTTATTTTGCTCTGGCAATTAATTCACCATTATTTTTAAGTATTTAAACCTGTTGTCATGATGATATATTTTCAAATGTAATGGCAATTTTTTTACTCCTGATAAGTTTTGTCAATAAAAGTAACTCACCGGTATTACACTTCCTCTGTTGCCATCTGTCCCAAGCATCATGTGCAAGTGACTGCCTCCTACCGTTTCCACACTTCCACAGTCTATACAATTATCTGTTTGACTAGTTTCGGGGCCGATTTGACTAGTTTTGGGGCCGATTTGACTTTTGAAAATTGTTGTGTGGCCGATTTGACTTATTTTGAGGCCGATTGGACTAATTTTGGGGCCGATTTGACTTGGGGACGATTTGACTAGTTTGCGTATCTCCTTTAGGCTCTTCAGATCACGATATAGTATTCCATGAAATTAAGAGTAACAAGGGGCGTCCACTTTAATCAAAGAGGGAAGTCCAATGCTATAATAAGGCAAACTGGACTTAGATATGCAACCTATGTTCTATTCACAAACCAACTATTTAAAGTCACTAAAACACCTCGATCGCGATCTACCGTGGTTAAACAAGTTCATTACTCTCAAAATTAGGAAACGTGATAGAACTTATTCAGAAAAAAAAAGGGTCAAAGTCCCCATCAAATGATTTGGTCAAAAGCTCAAAATACTTTATTTAGTGAAAATAAAAAAGAGAAACTAGGAAAGCATAATGGCAATGCTTAGACTCAGACATTTTCAGCCAAAATGTGAAAAATAAAAAAATCTACCAATATAATTATTAAAATTAACAAAAACTGAAAGCTGTGGTGTGTGATACCCCTAAAATCAAAAGGTAAAACATTTACTGATTCATTTGCAAGAGCAAATATCCTTAATTTCCAGTTTGAGTCTGTTTTCTCTTGGCCTCAGCCCCTAAGCTTATTACAGGCGTGCAGACAGGAGCTTATTCCAAAACACCACCCATCTATGCCAAAAGTATCTGTATCGGAAGATGGTGTGAAGAAACTTTATATGATCTAACCCAAAATATAGCTTCTGGTCCTGACCAAATATCCCCTAGGCTACTAAAAGAGCTCCATCAATTAAGAGGTTGCTCCAATACTGACCCACATCTTCCAGATCCCTCTAAAAGAATGTATTGTCCCAGAAGACTGGAAGCATGCAACAACTGACCTAGTTTACCCCAGCAATTATAGACACATCTCCTTCACATGCATGCATAGCGTCCAAATTGATGTAGCACATCTAAGTATCCTATATATTATGTCATTTTATGATTAGCATAACATTCTTAGCCTCTATCAAGATGGCTTCAGGTCAAAACGGAGTTGTGAGTGCCAGCTAGTAAGCTTCTTCTTCTTCCAGTATAGTGAAGGACCGCTGCTGCGAGGAAATTCAAGACAATCATGAAAGTGGTCAACAAACTGATGTTCATAGTCATGAATTTTTAGTAAGGCATTTTGAAATAAGATGGACCATCAACAACTTGTGAGAAAATTTAAAAAAGAGTGGGTATAATTTTCCACAATGTTACAAATTGGTCCCAATTCTTTTTCACTAAGTCTCGCCTCCAGCAATGTTTGTTATTGAAAGTCAAAAATCACGAAATTCTCCCAATGCTCATCAAATTCTTATATAAAGGGACCTTCCTATTTATTTCTTGATTAACCCCCCCCCCCCTTCCCTCCCGGTCTCACCTGTCCCCATTCCCCCTTTTGTGGGGGCCTATTATTTATTTTTCTTGAATGCCTAATCAGTTACAAAGTATTTATCATTTAATGATAACCTGTTCCGTGCTCTTGTCTTTGCCTAGTCCTTTGTTTTTGTTTGGGGTCCGCCTGGGCTCCTTGCCATTGGGTTTCTTATTTGCTGGGTTCATATAGGGGGGTTGCTTCATTAACGCCCCCTTTTCCTTTTTGATCTTTTTTATCATTTTTCCTGACAGTTTTAAATCAAATTTAATTAGATTTTTTGCAGATGTTTTAAATTTGGTAATGTTCCCTTTTACTTAACCATCAGATCTTTTTTGGAAACAAAATGCCCCAAACCCCTTCAAGACGACCAAACATGCATTAAAATTTTCGGAAAAAGAAGGGCCCCAATGTAAAAACCCTAACAAATGGGGAATTTTCTCAGAATAACAAAAAAAGAAACCCTTTTACTTTTTCCTTAACCCCCCAAACAATTTTTCCAATTTAAAATAAAACCCAAAAAGGGGCAAAATACTTGGGGGATCATTATGAGAAAAAAAAAATCTGGAAACAAAGTGATCCATGGGGGAAGCTTTAAATCACAAAAAATTAAAAAGAAAATTGCAACTCAGTTTGTTTTGAGCTGTACATGGGGGATAAGAATACGTGCAACACCCCCTTCACCCCCCCCTAGCCCCGGGCTTAGGGGTACTCAATTCTAAACCCACTAATAATTGTTTGGCTTTAAATTTGACCCCCGAAAAACCAGAAAAAACAACAGCACTGAAAAAACGGGGAAACCTTTCCCCATATACCAATATAAACAACTTTACACTAAAGCAAAAAACCCCCTTAGATTCATTAGAAGAAATGAAAAAATGCAGTTTAAAAAAGAAAAAAGAAACTATATAAAAGACCTTTCAGTATCTAAAAAATTTTTTAAGTTTGGGGCCCTTTGGGAAAAATACTTAATAATTTGGATAGGAAATAAGCCAAAAAATCAAAGCTGCCCCCAATAATTTTTTCAAGATTTTTGGGAAATACAAAAAGCGTCTTTAAAATTATATTTAACATTGTCTTTTTTTGAACCCCAAAACCCTTAAAATTTCTCAAAACAAGGGAAATCTGAAACTACCTGATTACCTTACTAGAGAACACGATACCATCGGCATAATTATTTCTTTTCTCTAGGAGCATACGTCTGTTGAAATGGGAAAGCGGAACGCAAAAAGCCCCCCTTTCGTGACAAGCCCGTCCCGTAAAAAAAAACGACCCAAGGCGGAAACAAAAGCCCTCCCCCGGTGAAAATGGACCAGGGCGGACAAAAGCCCTTTCCCTTTAAAAATTTAATTAGGCGGACAAAAGCCCTCCCATTGAAAAAGACTGCGCCGTACATAAGCCCCTCCGTGAAATTAACAAGCGGGACCAAAAGGACCTTTTCCTAACAAAAAAAATATTGATCGGTTAAATTACCTGTGTTTTTTTCAATGCACTCAAACATAAAAATTTTGTTAAACATATATTTCTTGTTGTTTTCAATTGGGCCTAAGTATGTGTATGAGCTAGAAACCAACCTTTTATTCTGAATTACCTTCCTAAAATGTTTAACGAGGAACTTTTTTCATAATTTCCCGTTAAAAAAAAAAATCACTTTTTTTAAAAAAGATTGTATCATTAAAAAGGGGACTATATAAATGCTTTAACTTTAAATTAGATAAAAAAAAATTTTATCATTATCTATTAATTTTTAAAATTTACAAGGAAATCCTTCATATTTTACGTGAAAAAATATGCGCTTTCAAATTTAGAAATTTTAATTTTTCAGATGCCCCAGAATGGCCTTTAAGCTCATACAAACACCCCTTTTTCCAATGGAAAAAAAAAAATATATCATTATTACAATTTCAATATGGTTTAAATGCATTGAAAAGAAAAAAATAAACTATTCAAGTACATATATGTACGGGAGGGCTTTTTTCCGCCCTAAATTTTTTTCACGGTAGGGGCTTTTTTCCGCCCAAGTCATTTTTTTAAAGGGGCCAAATCATTTTTAAGGGGGGCTTTTGTCCCCCCTGTCATTTTAATGGGAGGGCTTTTGTCCGCCTTGTCACTTTTTGACGGGAGGGCTTTTGTTCCTACACTTTCCTTTTTGAAATAAGCCTTCCTTCTAATGTTCAGTCTAGCCACAGTTCTAGCATTTTTAGATTCTAATTTGCACACTATGTTTAAATCTTTAATGAATTAATAGTAGAACTTTTATTCTTTAATCTTTTTTAAATTTGCATATATATATAAATCAGTAAGCTCAAAAATGTCAAACTCGGTGAATCGACATTGAAACCCTGCCCCTTCACGTGGGACAATATGTACATGTCAGTAATGTACTGAGTTTTCAAAATTCTATATTTTTTTTAGCACTCGATTAATCCTAACAAAATATGTGAAGTGAGTTTAAATCAAGTTCCCCACACTGCAAAAAAAGGTTTTAAAAACGTTAAAACCCCGCCTGGGACCCCCATGTAACAATTTGTCGTTTAAATAAAGGGGGTTTTCTCCGGATATGCACAAATGCATTTAAAAAAATTTTTATTGTTTAAAATTTTAAAAAAATAAGCACAGGTTTTAAGGTCCGTTTAACTAGAATTTTTTTCGGATTTAAAAATTTTTGGAAAAAATCCACTTAAATTCCCAAAATTCCTTAATTGTTTTATTTTCTTTAAAAAATTTCCAAAAAAAAAAAATTTGGGTTCCCAAAAAATTTATTGTTTTGAAAATTAATTTCTTAAAATAATAAATTTAATTTGGCCCCTAAAAAAGTTTCCAAAATTGGTTTTTGGGGTTTGACCACCCGAAATTTACTCCTGATTTTCCCCGGGGGTTTAAACCCCGGGTGACAATTCCCTTTGGGACCCTTTTTAGAACCTTTCAGTGTTTTCCCCCCCTACCTAAGGTTTTTTCTGGAAAAAAATCCAGATAATCTTTTGCATGTATTCCCCCGGTAGTGTATCTATACCCTTGGACATTTTAAAAGAACCAATGATCTATTTCAAAAGAGGAACCCCCGACATTTTCACCCCAAGACATTTTCCCCAATTAAACATTTCCTCCCAAGATGGGTTTACACCAAGACGTTTTACTCCCAATTTTAATTTTTATGGGCGTTCACTCCCAAATTTTTTTAAAATTAAAATTTTTTATTTTTTGTAAGTCTAAAAAAATAAATTTACAAAGCCTATAAACGGAAGCTTTAAAAATTTTCCTTTTATTTTTTTCCCTTTTTTAAAGGTTCATTGGGTATTACATGCCCCCTTTCCGTTTCATGGGAAAAACTCACGTTATCATTTACCCCAAAAATTAGATTTCCCGTTATCGAATCCCCCGCCTTTATATTGATTACTTTTGTAAATGGCGCCCCACAAAAAACTGACACTAAAAATTTTCATTGAAGTAAGAATTCATATTTTTTTTAATTTTTTTTTTTTTATTTTTTTTTAAATTTAAACACGTGTGTTCTATAGCCGGCAAGCCAAACCCGACCCGCTTCGCGGCCCAGCTTTGATTTCCCCTATAAAATGCAAAAAAACTAAAAAAAATTTAATTAAAATTTTTTTTTAATTTTTTCCCAAAAATTAAAAAAAAACTTTGAATAAACTAACATTATGAATACAAACTTAAAGTACTAACAAAGTAATCTATTTTGAGAGTAAAAGTTTTGGTTTTGAACCTCCCAATAGTAAAAATCTTCACCCAATAAGAGCTAGGGACGGTCAAAGGTTTTCCCTTTATCTCAATTTTCTCCAATTCATTGATAATCATAAGATGTTTACATTATTTTAACAAAAAAAGATTTTAAGCAGATTATGTAGATAAAAGGGGATGAAGATAAGGTCTCCAAAATTTGAGGTAAATAAAATTTTGTAGCTACCAGTGCCCAAACAAATTTTTTCAAAATAAGATACACTTTTTTTTTTTGGGATAATATTATGAAAATATATAAAAAAGGGAAATAAAAAGGAAATAAAGTAATTTTACACAGTGTTTTATTGGCATTTTACCCCTTTTTATTTTTAATATCTAAGTAAAATCATAATGGATGATGGGGTTAAAAACGTTTTAAAACCTTAGTCCAATACATGTATATCCACTTACAACTTGTTATAAATTATTTCCGGTCAAGTCTGACTGGCATTTTGCTTGCTTGCAAAGAAAGCAAAAATATCTCAAAGTTGAGCATTTTATAGGACTAATTTACATGTAACCTTAAAAAAAAAATCTATTGAATTATATTGTTTAATAATCCTTTTGCTTTCACAAATCCCTACAGTGGGGTATTATGCTCCCAACTTTATTAAGGCAAATATAATTATGTTTCATTGTCATCTTTTGTATTAATAACACAATAATGTTTTGTTGTTGTATGTAAGGAAACATAAATATAAATCAGCATAACTTGACTGTGTTACCATGTTATCAGATAATCATATGTACAATAATTTGACAGAAGTATGTGAAAATGTAATGAACGGATACATTACATTAACATGTAGTCAGTCTGTACAGAAAGGTAATTAAATGTTACGATTTTTTGAAAGTTGTTTGTCAATTTTATTTGATAAAAATGTACTCATAAAAGGCTACACTTAAATGAAGTTCTTTGCTTTTAATAGAATATGTTAATTGATGAAGATATAAGATGATTCATTGTCTGCAGCATTCCCTATAAGCTAATGCATTTAAAAGTTACAGAACGCAATTGCAACTTCTTTACTAATGTTTCAAGATTTTTATTTCTTTACAAACATAGAATTAGACACTTTTTGAAACACTGGACAAAACCAATATTAAAATATTGTTGTATTTACTCATTGAAACTTATATTTTATTAGGGGTTGTCAATTGTTGCTTCAATGTCAGCAGTCTATACATTGAAGCATAATTTTATAAAAAGAAAGAGGTAAAATGACTTTGATATATAAAATGAACCATTTTTATCAAGGTGCACCCTGTTTTCAGTGAAACAGGTCATAGAATTGTGCACTTTACTCTCTCAAAATATATTCTATTGAGATAATAAAGTAATTAATACATGGCATAGTAATAGTAGTAAGGTCGAATTAAAGTTTTCATTTTTAAAAACATTTATACAAAATAATTTTATATCATCAGAAAAATAATACTAACATTTAAAATGCTATAACAATTAACATACAATAGTACGTACCATAACGCGTGCCAATGATTTAAGCAAACGCATTATTTGGTGCGAAGTCTGTTTTGCCCCGTTGATCAAAGGATAAAATTTTCCTAATAATAGCATAATAAAAGTATATTCTGGGAAAACCTTATTCTGTTTAATACATAAAATATGTATGTGTGTTAAATAACAGACATTTTATTTTATAACAATTTCAAGAAACGACTATAAGATTATGGATAGGCCATTATTTCACTGGTTGATTAATTTTAAAACATATTTTAGATGTAGCTTTATACCCTTTAAATCTCAGTTAATGAAAAAATCATGTTATATGAAGATATAATAAGTTATTTTTTTACTTTCAGTTGGGTATTTCAAAAATATTCTTGCAGTATATCCAGTATGGGCTGCATGTATTGTGATGACAGTTTTTAGTAAGTATACCGTACACATAATTAATTAATAACAGAATGAAAAGAAACTTATTTCTATTATTTCAAAATTGCAACCACTTTGAGAGTTACTGTAGTACATAGATGTAGATAGAAAATGCATTTAATTTTAAATCCTATTCTGTGAAACTGAATGACCTAGAGTTTAGGTTTTTTCAATGGCTTCAAAATTTAATCATTTTGTAGTGGAACCCAAAAAAAAAAAAAAAAAAAAAAAAAAAAAAAAAAAAAAAAAATTACAGTAAAACTCTGCATTATAACAAGTCCCAATAATGCAGCAAACATCCAAGCAATTTCATTTCATTAATTAAAAGCATATTCGTTTAAGACAAAGTTGAGTTTTACTGTATATTATGTAAAATCTTTTCTCCTCTAAGTCAAAAACTGGGGGCCCCACCCTGCCAAATCCACAAATAATGTTACATTGAATTGTATTGGAAAATTATTTTGGAAACATTTTTCTAAGAAACTATATATTATATAATGCTCAGAGCTTAGATATTTGGCATGTAGTAAAACATATATATAAATATTTATCAGATACCATTGATCACTAAATGAGATTCACATATTCTGAAGACTATGGTAGATGTACAAACTTATTGTACATGTATGTGCTAAAGTATCAATATGAATAGAAAAAACATTAATGAGTGGCATCAAATTTGTCTTAACTTTACTTTACGTAATTTAAGGTCCTTTAAACATTTTGTTTTATTATGCCCCCATTTCGAAGAAAAGGGGGTATATTGCTTTGCACTTGTCGGTCCGTTGGTCCGTCGGTCCGTAGACCAAATGGTTTCCGAGTGATAACTAAAGAACCCTTAGGCCTAGGAACTTCAAACTTAGTATGGTGATTGGTCATGACCAGTAGATGACCCCTATTGATTTTGGGGTCAAGGGGTCAAAGGTCAAGGTCATATTGACCTTGTAAGCATAAACGGTTTCCGATCAATTAACTAAAGAACCTTAAGGCCTAGGAACTTCAAACTTGGTATGGTGATAGGTCATGATCAGTAGATGACCCTATTGATTTTGGGGTCAAGGGGGTCAAAGGTCAAGTCACATTGACCTTGTAAGCAAAAACGGTTTCCGATCAATAACGAAAGAACCTTAAGGCTTAGGAACTTCAAACTTGGTATGGTGATTGGTCATGATCAGTAGAATGATCCCTATTGATTTTGTGGTCAAGGGGTCAAAGGTCAAGGTCACATTGACCTTGTAAGCCAATAACGGTTTCCGATCAATAACTAAAGAAGTTTAAGGCCTAGGAACTTCAAATTGGTATGGTGGTTGGTCAAGATCAGTAGATGACCCCATTGATTTTGGGGGTCAAGGGGTCAAAGGTCCAAGATCACATTGAACCTCTTGGGTAAAAACGGTTTCTGATCAATAACAAAAAGAATCCTTAGGCCTAGGAACTTCAAACTTGGTATGGTGATTGGTCATGACCAGCAGATGACCCCTATTGATTTTGGGGTTAAGGGGTCAAAGGTCAAGGTCACATTGACCTTGTAAAAAAAAACGATTTCTGATCAATAACGAAAGAACCCTTAGGCTTAGGAACTTCAAACTTGGTATGGTGATTGGTCATGACCAGCAGATGACCCCTATTGATTTTGGGGTTAAGGGTCAAAGGTCAAGGTCACATTGACTTTGTAGGTAAAAACGGTTTCCGATCAATAACGAAAGAACCCTTAGGCGTAAGGACTTCCAACTTTATATGGTGATTTGTCATGAACAGTAGATGACCCCTATTGATTTTGGGTCAAGGAGGTTCAAAGGTCAAGGTCACATTGACCTCTTAGGTAAAAACAGTTTCCGATCAATAACTAAAGAACCCTTAGGCCTAGGAACTTCAAACTTGGTATGGTGATTTGTCATGATCCAATAGTATGACCCCTATTGATATTGGGGTTAAGGGGTCAAAGGGCAAGGTCACATTGACCTTGTAGGTAAAAATGCTTTTCAAATCAAAAACTTAAGAACCCTTTGGCCTAGGAACTTCAAACATGGTATGGTGATTTGGTCATGACCAGCAGATGACCTATTGATTTTGGGGTCAAAGGTCAATGTCACATTGACCTTGTAAGCAATAACGGTTTCCGATCAATAACTAAAGAAGTTTAAGGCCTAGGAACTTCAAACTTGGTATGGTGGTTGGTCAAGATCAGTAGATGACCCTATTGATTTTGGGTCAAGGGGTCAAAGGTCAAGTCACATTGACCTCTTGGGTAAAAACAGTTTCTGATCAATAACAAAAGGAATCCTTAGGCCTAGGAACTTCAACTTGGTATGGTGATTGTCATGACCAGCAGATGACCCCTATTGATTTTGGGGTTAAGGGGTCAAAGGTCAAGGTCACATTGACCTTGTAAGTAAAAACGATTTCCGATCAATAACGAAAGAACCCTTAGGCCTAGGAACTTCAAACTTGGTATGGTATGATTGGTCATGACCAGCAGATGACCCTATTGATTTTGGGGTTAAGGGGTCAAAGGTCAAGGGTCACATTGACTTTGTAGGTAAAAAACGGTTTCCGATCAATAACGAAAAGAACCCTTAGGCGTAAGGACTTTCAAACTTTATATGGTGATTGGTCATGATCAGTAGATGACGCCCTATTGATTTTTGGGTCAAGGGGTCAAAGGTCAAGGTCACATTGACCTCTTGGGTAAAAACAGTTTCCGATCAATAACTAAAGAACCCTTAGGCTCTAGGAACTTCAAACTTGGTATGGTGATTTGTCATGACCAGTAGATGACCCCTATTGATATTGGGGTTAAGGGTCAAAGGGCAAGGTCACATTGACCTTGTAGGTAAAATGCTTTCAAATCAAAAAATTTAAGAACCCTTTGGCCTAGGAACTTCAAACATGGTATGGTGATTGGTCATGACCAGCAGATGACCTATTGATTGTGGGGTCAAGGGGTCAATGTCACATTGACCTTGTTTGTTAAAACGGATTCCGATCAATTAACTAAAAACACTTAGGCCTAGGAACTTCAAACATGGTATGGTGATTGGTCATGACCAGCAGATGACCTATTGATTGTGGGGTCAAGGGGTCAATGTCACATTGACCTTGTATGTTAAAACGGATTCCGATCAATTAACTAAAAACACTTAGGCCTAGGAACTTCAAACTTTGTATGATGATTGGTCGTGACCAGCAGATGACCCCTATTGAGTTTTGGGTCAAGGAGTCAAAGGTTAAGGTCATGACCAGTAGATACTTGATAACCCTTATTCTTATTAATTGTTTGATCACTGGGTCAGAAGTCATGCATAATAACCTTATCACATGACTAATTGGCTGCTGATAGGGGGCATACATGTTTTACAAACATATCTTGTCTATATACATGTTTAAATCCACTATAATGTTGTTTCAACATTTTCAGGTGGAGCAGGAATTGCTTTATATAGCTACAAACAAAATAAACTGCATCCTGACTTTCATGAGATGTGCTATGAAGCTTACAAAGGTAGGATTTTTAATATTAATATGTTATTTTTATGCCCCCGAAGGGAAGCATAATATATATCGCACCGTCTGTCCATCCATCTGCGCATCCCCACTTCATTCGTGTCCTGACTGTAACTTTGTCATACATTGAGGGATTTTGAAATAACTTGGCATAAATGTCTACCAAGACGATGTGTTGCATCCAAGAACCATGTCCTTACCTCAAAGGTCAAGGCTACACACTCATTTTGAAGTTTCACATTATTGCAATTAAAGTAAATAGGTACACACATTCTTGTCCGGACTGTAACTTTGTCATGCATCAAATGATTTTGAAATAACTAGGCATAAATGTCTACCACATCAAGACGATGTGTTGCGTTCAAGAATTACGTCTCTACCTCAAAGCTCAAGGTCACACTAACATTTTGAAGTTTCACATTATCACAATTAGAATTAATACACACAATCGTGTCCAGGCTGTAACTTTGTCATGCATGGAAGGATTTTAAAGTAACTAGGAATAAATGTCTACAACATCAAGACGATGTGTCGTGTTCAATAATCATGTCCCTACCTTCAAGGTCAAGGTCACACTACCATTTTGAAGTTCACTTTATCACATTAGAGTTTATAGGTACCCACATTCGTGTCTGGGCTGTAACTTTGTCATGCATCAAAGGATTTCAAAATAACTAGGCATAAATGTCTACCACATCAAGAGGACATGTCGCTACAAAGTTCCATGTCCCTACCTTCAAGATCAAGGTCACACTTATAATTTGAAGGTTTTCATTCTCTCAAGAAGGGTTTGAAGATACACATTCATTTCCAGACTGTAACTTTGTCATGCATGGAAGGATTTTGAAAAAACTTGGCACAAATGTCCAGCACATCAAGACAATGTGTCGCAGCTAAGGCTCATGTCTGTCTGTCTGTGTGTCCCCACTTACACAACAATCATGTCCAGACTGTACTTTGTCATGCATTGAGGGATTTTGAAATAATTTGGCACAAATGTTTATCTGATAACAACATTTTGTCGCGTCCAGGAACCAAGTCCCTTCTTCAAAGGTCAAGGTCACACTTATATTTTAAAGGTTCATGCTATCACAATAAGAGATTACAGGTACAATAATACAAAGAACAATATTCAGCGATTAGTTACTTTCATTCTCTTTTCTTTTCATAATACCTGCATGCTTAAGAAACCTTTTCGGGGGCATTCGTCACTTGGTTTACAGCTCTTGATATGTAATTAATTGCATGAAAAGTACCTGAATAAATATAAAACTTACACTCTTTGTGGAGGGCTATTGCTTATTATGTAATATCTTGTAGCCCAACCCATTTTATATTAATATTTGTATTTCCATAATTTTTGTAACTTTACATCTATTTATGTATTGAATAGTATTGAAAGATGTATCCTATTTAGCTATTTTGAACACCATTGCATCATACATATGAACTTTTTTTGATGATCAAGTGGGAAAGTGATCAAGTGGGAGATATTTCTTCAAAAAGAGAGAAATTTTAAAATTTGCAATAAACAAAGAAGGAAGTACTGTCATCAGAAATAGGGAGATTTCTTTAATTTGTAAAAATACCCCTTATTTTAAGAAAAATCTTTGAAAATATGGCTGGAAAAAGTGGGAGTGTCACACTTAAAGTGGGAGAGTTCACATGTATGTTGCATATATTAATAATAAAGAAGCTATTTTCATTTAGTATCCAGATATAAAAATTAGTAGGGTTGGTATGTGTACATTAGTTCACAGGGAAGGAACTCTTAACAGTTAAAAGTTTGATGGAATTCTTTCAATAACTGTTGTAGTGTTTGAGGAAACATCATTGAGTTCCTCTGTTAATATTCACTACAAAATGTTAATTGGTTATTTAAATAAAAGAAAGAATGAAGTGTAATATTATGATGTTAAGTAAATGATTCCTTGATTCCACATTTCTGTGTTACCTCATGCACATACAATTTCAACAATGTATCCAGAGGCCATGACCCCTCCTCGGATTAGGCAAGTATTTGGAAGCCCTCTGAGATTAGGATACTATCAAACATTTTTTAGCTACAATTTCACAAGTGGATACCAGCAAAGTTTTGACTCCTAACCCTATCAGGAAAACTAGTAAAATGTTAACTCCCCCTTTGGTACACGTATATGAATTACCCTTTGTAGAAATTTTTTGACCCCTCTGGTAATAAATTCTTAATCGACGTAATAAATTCTTAATCCATACTAGTACCTCTGACTGAGTAGAACTTAAATGACACTAATTGATCATATAACTTTTATACATGTATTTCATATCACTAAAAAAAAAAAATCTTTTATATTTCAGTACGTCGCATAGAGGATGTAGATGACCCAACCAGAGAGTGTTACAATTAGACAATGTATTTAGTTATTCTTTTATTACCGTTATATGATTGTGTGATTTGATGGATACAGAAAATTTGAGGGAAAAAAAACAATACATGAATTAAATGTGAACAGTTTTTGATTTGTTGATCTTCTTTGGCTACTGTTTTTAAACTGGCAGTAATCATTACATGTGACAATTGCCCAGTGATATTAAAGTTATATCTGGTAGAAATATTAAATTTTGAAGAATTTTGATATTTAAAAGGATTTCTTTTTATGGACTTTGTTAAAGAAAAATACAACAACAACGTTTAATTTAATAAAAAGTTAATAAAGAGTTTTTGAAGTGATTTTTTATTTTTGCTTGCCTGCTGAAGAATAAGAATGATTCCCTGTATACAAATATTTAAGTAGAAGCCTAAAGACCTATAATTGTATAATATGATCATTGTGATGCCCCTTCTTTCACAACGGGATACACTTAGTAACTACCCTATATTTCTCCCTACTGTTCTATCAGCCATGTAAGGGAACTTATAGGTAAGTTTAGAGCAAAAAAAAATGAATAAATTAAAAAACTGGCATCTACAGTTTCCACTTAAATAATGTACTGTATCCACCTAAGTAACCAGTAAGGTGCAGCATTTGTGAGCATGACTATCTGTATTGTGTTCATTCTATATATTTAAAGTAGCGAAATGACTTAACGTACAAGTCAGAAACTATCATGTCAGTTTTGACCCTAACAACAGCAGAAAAGTCCTTTTTCACTTTGTTGCAATACCATTTGCTGGACTTTTTTGAAGAAACAAAGATCTATTGCTACAGTCAAATTTCGGTTGCCATCCAATCATAATTTTTTAATTTCTGAATGAATTGCATTCATACTTGGACACAACACAAACCCTTTTGGTTTAGACCTTCAAGTTGACCAGACTGAACTTGACCTTCATTTATAAATGACCTTTACATAAATAATTGAATTTTGGTTCATTTTGCTGTAATTGACTGTAACTTTGTTTTTATGCCACCGCAGCATCTGCGATGCGGTGGCATAACCGCAGCATCTGCGATGCGATGGCATATAGCGATTCACCTGTGTGTATGTGTGTGTGTGTGTTATATGGATTATATAGTGAACTTAAAAAATCTTCTTGTGAAAAACCACTAGTCCAATTTCAATCAAACTTGGCAGGATTGTTCCTTGGGTGAAGGGCTTCCAAAGTTGTTCAAAGAATTTCATTCCATGCAGAAATCTGGTTGCCATGGCAACCAAAAGGAATTATAAAAAATAAATTTAAAAAATCTTCTTGTAAAGACCCAAAAGCCTAGAGCTTAGATATTTTGCATAAGGCATTGTCTGGTAGACCTCTAACAAGATTGTTCAAATAATAGCCCTGGGTCAAAATTGGCCCTGCCCCGGGGTCATTGATTTTCACTATGTACATATAGTAAAAACCTAAAATACCTTCTTGTAAAAACCAAAAAGCCTAGAGCTTAGATATTTTGCATAAGGCATTGTCTGGTAGACCTCTAACAAGATTGTTCAAATTATAGCCCTGGGGTCAAAATTGGCCCCGCCCCGGGGGTCATTGATTTTCACTATGTACATATAGTAAAAACCTAAAATACCTTCTTGTAAAAACCCAAAAGGCCTACAGCTTAGATTTTTTGCATAAGGCATCATCTGGTAGACCCTTACCAATATTGTTCAAATTGTAGCCCTTGGGTCAAAATCGGCCCTGCCCCGGGGTCATTGATTTTCGCTATATGTACATATAGTAAAAACTTAAAACACCTTCTTGTAAAGACCCAAAAGGCCTAGAGCTTAGATGTTTTGCATAAGGCATTGTCTGGTAGAGCTCTACCCAGATTGTACAAATTATAGCCCTGGGGTCAAAATCAGCCCTGCCCCAGGGGTCATTGGTTTTCCTTAAATGTATATAGTAAAAACTTTAAAAAAATTCTTCTAGCAATTGACAAATGCTAGAGGTTAGATATTTTGCATGAAACATTGTGTTGTAAACCTCTAGCAAGATTGTTCAAATTATAGCCCTGGGGCCAAAATTGCCCCCGCCCTGGGGGTCATTGATTTCAATATAAACATATAGTAAAAAATATTATTGTCTGAAGGTACAAAGCTTAGAGCTTTACTATTTGTTAAATAATATCATCTAAAGGTACTCTACCAAAGTTGTTCAAATTTTGCCTCTTGTGTCAAAATTAGCCCCACCCCTGGGAGCCATAGGTTTATCTTATATGTTTATTGTTAAAACTTAAAAAATCATCTTCTCTAAATTTACAAAGGATAGAGTTAAGATATTTTGCATGAAACATTGTGTAGTGAACCTCTAGCAAGATTGTTCAAATTATAGCCCTGGGGTCAAAATTGGTTCCGCCCTGGGGGTCATTGATTTTCATAATGTACATATAGTGAGAGAAAAAAAATTTTGTCTGAAGGTTCATGGCATAGAGCTTTGATGTTTGATATATAATATCATCTATAGGTCCTCTACCAAAGTTGTTCAAATGTCAAAAATTGGCCCTGCCCGGGGGCAGTGATTCTCATTATGTACACGTAGTAAAAACAGAAAATGAAACCAATGTTTTTGAATGGGAGAAAGCTATAGCTTAGATATTTGACTTGAAATGTTGTTTGGTGGAGCTGTATCAAGATTATTATTAAACCCTTGGGTCAAAATTATGCCTTGCCCAAGGGGACAGTGACCTACTTTCTTGTCTATGATGTACAGCAATGACATTTTGACCATGTGCAGTTTTAGTTGTAAAATTGAACTTTGACCTAGATTTTGATGATGTGACCTACTTTCTTGTCCTTTGATGTACAGCTATGAAATTTGAACCATGCGGTGGCATAGCATTTTTCTCAAATGCAATCTTGTTTTATGAATTGATTGTCTTCATTTTTAAGCACAACAACTATAAAGACGAAATCTTAAAGAAGATTAAACTACATTTAACCTTTACTTTTAAATGACCTTGACCTTGAAGGTCAAATTATTGCAATTTCTTATTTTTGTTTTGCTCTCGGCTATAATTTTGCAAGTAATTAATGGATTGTTTTCAACTAATACTGTTCTTGTGGCAAGAAATTAAAGAGATTTAATTGATCTTTGCCTTGATGTTGAACTATTTTGATGACCTTGACCTTTAATTGACCTTATCATGAATAGAAATGGCATTAAAGTCTTGGAAATTTGCTTAAATTGTCATAACGTTGTTATTTCTTTACGAACCTGATTCTCTCTTGGACAAAAGAACGCTTCTGACAAAACTAACATTATGATAAATTCAAACGTGACCTTGACCTTTGAATGACATTGACCGCTAAGGTCAAATATGAATTTTTATACATGTATGTTGTTCAAGAAAATTATGTTTTCTAGGAGCATTCTTTCCTCAAGAAATAAGAAAAGTTCGAGCATGGCCCCGCTAGGCAATGGTTCTTGTTTCCAGTCTGTCGATTTTTATGTGCTTCTCTTCGGCAAATCGACATATTTGATACTATCAAAAACAAGTACGAAATAGCTCGTATGTTATGAATAAGCAGAAAATATCCCAGGATAGGAGCATGTATGCTATCTCAGTTTCTTACATAAGCCTGAAGGCCAATGTGCATAACTAGAGTTGTGGCACTGAGAACATTTACAAGATACAAGAACCTTTATTTTAAGTCGGTTAACATATTACAAGAAACATTAGCTAATAAGCGTGCGTTGTTCCTCGGACCGCCCTTTTTACACCTTAATTACTATATTTTTGGGTAAAAGGTATGCTTTCAGGGTCTATACATCTCGTATACCAAATCCTGATTTACACCGAAAAGGTGTGCGCAAAAACACAAGACGGAGGAATACCCTCAAATACTACTCTCTACCACATCTGTTTCTTGCCCTAATCGTTACCTCTCACAAGTTAATAGTTAATTCATGTACGGAATGGCCCTTTAATGTCTTTATTTCAATCTTTCTTGAATATTCATATCTGAAATACAAATGTACTAGGACGCCTAAATATTTCCATATATGACGTCAAATTACAAAAGCAAATTATTTATACACTTCTTCGTATCACCTGCAATGCTTTGAATCAACATTTTTTAGAATATTTTTGCTCTTCTGTCCCCACCCCCAAAATGATATCACTACTTCGACTGTTGCGCATATATACGATACCGTCCACAGTGCATTCCTACATAACTTGCAAAATTTCAATCACAGCCTTCATTAACTTGACAAACTCTTTCATATCAGGAAAATGCTAGTATGTTTACAAAATTATATAGAACAAACTAACAAAATTATAGAACGTTTTCATAATATGAGACTACAAGCTTTTTTCCATCCTCTATATTTTCCATCTTATTTCGTTGTTTATTTTGCCCACATGGTGATTTTAATAAACATTAATGAGCAGTTGAAGATGTTTTTCATCTTAATTTCGTTAGTTTTACTTTTGCTCCAGCCAAATATAGAGGGCTGCATAATTATGTACGGAATCTCAAAGCCAAGAGAACAGCTATTGCATGTACATGTCTCAGACGTGATGTCATTTTTTTTGGCAACATTAAACTGTATGTTTCAGTGTTAAATGTTGGTTGATTTCCCCAACATAAATAAGGATATTCATTTACCTAAAATAAACCATTTAATTTCCGATGTCATGTGAGAATACATGAAAAGTTTATTGTTATTGTAATCTGTATCGTATTTGTGCCCAAATAACAGTCGTTTTCCTATTATCAAAAGAGAAATGCTTTTAGCCTTGGTGTGCAAACATAGAATCACTCTAGTTACATTCTACTAAAATATTTGTTTAGCTTACAATCTTCAAATAAACGGCCATTTCGTGTACAGCGACAATGATTGACTGTCCATTTAGTTAATTTTATTTATAAATGAAAGTTTACATATCCCATTAAAATGTTTAACTGGATGAAAAATAACGTTCAACGTTTAACATTATTTCCAACCTGAAAATGCGAACACGCTTAGTTTGCAGCCATTTTTAACACTCGGTAAGTAAATGTTATTCTGCCATATAATATTATAAGTTATAATTCATTTGAAATGTTATTGTCTTAGGACTTCGTAGATATACTAGTATATCTTTCAATGTCTTTACTGGTGTCATTGTCGCGGACATCTTATAGGTTATTTCATCTTAATACTAGTATAACCACGTCTGAATTACTACTGAGTGCGGAATACGTGTTTTAATCTATCACTTAGATATATTCAGAAATTTAAAATGAACAGTGATATCACGGTTTTTACTTAATTAAAGCTGTCGTGATATAATTATAAATTTGTCAATGGTCTCATTTGCCATATTTCTTAATTTGCATTATAATAAAATTACATCTTATGATAAGCCTAATTTTCTATAATATTTCACAAAGATGAATTCGTCAGGTTAATCTGTCCTTCTTTTGCTTTACATCACAAGAAAAAAAAGTAATCAAAAATTCTCAGAAAACAAATATTTGGAAGTTTTTTTAAAAAATTAATAATGTTTGATAAAAACAAAGAAGGTTGTTTAAAGTAAAAGTATACATGTAGATGTACAAACAGTATAAATGTAGAGATGAATTTTATTATAAGTATGTTATACTGTGCGTTTTTACGTCGCTTTTCATTGAACAAATGTGACGTTTACATAAGTATATAAAATTACAAACTTTACAATACTGCTTTTTCAATTAAAGGAAGTTTGCTGCTCTGCGTTATTATCTGTCAAAAATCCTAAACTAATAATCTATTTTGTCTCTGCTCATACCAAAATTGTACATGATTCAGCGCTATATATAGTACTATACCTAACAATGTCATAAATAGACGTTGCCGTTTATTGATTGATTGATTGATTGATTGGTTGATTGATTGATTGATTGATTGATTGATTGATTGATTGATTGATTGAACATTCTTTTATGATCTTTACCATCTGACACATTTTTAAATAGTATTGAATATTTCATGTCGGCAAAGTTAAGAACAATCCAACATGTATAGATCTAAGCTTTTTCGAGCTTTTATAATCGACTGCATATAATCATGTTTTTATTGTCTGGTCCAATTTGATGACGAATTTGGTAAAAAAAATGTGTATTCTCCTCAAATTTCAAGATTTAAGGGGAAAAAAAAGAAAAAAAAAAAAGAAAAGAAATTATTATCATTTTTATTAGATTTAATTGCACGTACACATACTGTGCCATATATAATAATCTTGCATATCAAATTGTAATATGTGCTTGTGAATGAAGTATTTATAGAGGAGTTTAATTTACATTACCAAACTTTGTCTTAAACGCCGTTATATTTCCAATGTCGGGAGTGTTGTCATGTTCAAAACCCTGATATAGATTAATGTAGATTTATATTTAGTATAATTTTAATTTTAAACAGAGAGCTCTGCAAAATGATTGGTATATGTAAGCTAATTTAATATCATTAAAACATTTAATATTTCATATCTAATTAAGATGACTTTAAAAGTTAAATATCATACTAGTTAAGTTTAATATTACATTTCATTAAAGTATGCATACTGTAGATGATATCTGTGGTAAATTACAAAAATTTCAAGCAGGAATCAGGGATCAAGTAAAACATCACACACATAAACACACTGGCCATAGCTTTCGCAGAAGCGGTGGGTCTACCGGTGCGGCGATGGAGAATTCGTCGCAGAAGCGGTGGAAAAACATGGCTGTCGGATAGTTTTTTGCTGGTGTCGGTAAGTTTATGACTTATTTTTACGTTATGTTTTTATGTTTAACTGATAACACCTAGTGAGACTGGAGCCAACATATGTACTCTTCCAACTAATTACAAGCATGGGATGCAAATCATGACCAGTTATGCAAACACTTCTGTACAGTTTGACGAGGGGACGCCACATATGCTTAATTTTGGTAATAACACGTACAAATGTATTCAAAACGACCCCTGAATACATTGGCATCGCATCGTATGTATGATACTTTCACAAAACATTTATATAATTGAAATTTTGAAAACTGTCCCTGACTATTTGTAAAATAATTGATCGAAAATGATTACAACGCAGACGGCGGTGGATTTGATTGCAACGCAGTGCGGTGGGCTGACACCATTAAAGTCTAATTTGAGGGTTAATGTTGACACAACGCACTTTTAATGAAGTACAACTTTTTAGTTTTCATTGACTTCAGAGAAATGTGTTTATTTTGTGTTTAAAACAGTATTATTAAATACAAATAGATGTCCGAGTGTATATATAAATATATATACAGTGTAACTTCTTAATTCCGGAATTTCTAAAATCCGTTAAATCCGGAAACTTCTGAAATCCGGACATTTTTCAGGGTCCCGAAATTTCTCCTTCTGTTTTCTATGTAATCAAAACCTCTGAATTACGGAACTTCTAAATTCTGAATTCCGAACGATTTTCTGGAAAAATTTTGGTTATATAAATTAAAATTTACTTCCAAAATCCGGAAATTAAAAAAGGTATGAAGGAATATTATACTTGTCATGAAAAACCTTCAAAATGTCAGTATCTTCCAATTAACAGCACCCATTTATCTTGACATCTATTAGAATTACATCCTGTAAAGCATATCAAACACTTGTTTAAATTGTGAAAATTAAGAAATTGAGAAAAATAATGTTATGAAATGAAAAAATACAGGTAAATAGCAGGTACTGCATGTATATGAAATATACTAAAGGATGAATTGTGATAATTAACATCATTATGCTATTGTATCAGCAAATTCAGTTATAGGTGATAATGAAATTTAAAATGGTAAAAGTCCTATTAGTTTGCTATTTTATTAATTTAATCAGTTTCATATATTTGTCCTTTTTTACTAGAAATAGAAATATTGTGAAAAGGGGAAGAATTCGCGCATCTGAAAGTTTTCTCAGTACATCATAATCACAGCAAATTTCCAGAAACTGTTTTTCTTCCGTTTTTGTGTCATTTTTGTCATCAGGAATATCGAATAAAACGTGCATTTCTGTTTCCTTTTGATTGTTAATCCGTTCTTTATTATGGAGGTTTATAATTATTATAACTATTTATTGTTTCCAGAGTGATTTAAAAAACATATCAAGAAGGTACATTTAAGTTTCGAAATATAAAGGTCAATGTTATTATCTATGAACATTTAATTAGTATAGATATCTTTATTTATTCTTTAATTAATCTCAGACACTTTGGAGCTGCAAAAGCCTTAAAGCTGGGAACCATCAGATGAGCCAAAATATTTCAAGAACATCAATAGTTAGAAAATATATCACGATTTTAAAAAAGTTAGAAACATTCAAGATCCAAGTTGTATTTTACACATTATATGCGGTTAAAGTATGATTTTGCAATGTTTTATCACCATATTTCTACTGCGTTACTAACGCAGTAAGAACTTTTTTTGCATATGTTGACCACTTGTTTGGTGATGTTTGTAGATTGTAAGTGCCGATTTCAATATGTTAATTAATTTATTTGTTCACACCACAATATTTTACTTTTAAATACATTTCCAATTCTTTTCATGAAAATAAACATGAATATTGAGACGTGCTGCTTTAAAATCCAAATAAATGTATATTTATTAATTCCAGCACATATACTTATCATATGTTTCAATAAAACTTACATATATGCTGTTTGAAGAAAAAGTAAATATTTATACGTCAAAATATATAAAAGATTTTAAAAAATTGTTAGAAAAAATTCGCACACCCTTCAAATCACCTTGCAATTTATTCTATTTCCAATATGTTCACATTATCCTTTTGTCCACAGACGACACGAATCATCTATTAAACATAATTATATTACTGGTACTTAATATATATTTTCATCATATTTTTCTTTTTCAACAATATCAAACTTCATCTTCAACATACAAACACAATATGAGAAAAAATTTAAACTATCGCCGTTTTATTTATTTACAAAATATTTCAACAAATTCAAGCGTAGCACTCACCTCTGTCGTATTTAAATGCGGTGCGCTATGAATGTGAGAACCCGCATTATCCCGAATGACTCCGATTATAGCAAGGCTGGTTCAAAGCGCATTGATATACAGCATATCTGAGAGTCATTTTGTTTTCAAAAAAGCGTTTATTTACTTTCATTGATATATATAACAACTATATGTGTTAGGATTAACAAATATATATTTAATTTGTATTTTAAGGCGTTTGGAGCCCAACTCCTAAGTGTCTGTGACTTTAACGTAAAAAAAAGACATAAATGAAATCGGGCCCACCGCACTGCGTTTCAATCGAATCCACCGCCGTCTGCGTTGTAATCAATTTTTGTCAATTCTTTTATGAAAATGGTAATATCAATTTCCAAAAATTTCCAAAATATGGTTGTTTAGTGTAATTATCATACATACGATGCGATCCCAGTGTATCTAGGATAGTTTTGAGTAGATTTGTAGTGTTATAAACAAAATTAGGCAAAAGTGGGCGTCCCCTCGTCAAACTGTACAGAAGTGTTTGCAAAACTGGTCATGATTTGCATCCCATGCTTGTAATAAGTTGGAAGAGTACATATGTGGGCTCCAGTCTCACTAGGTGTTATCAGTTAAACATAAAAAACATAACGTAAACATTAGTCATAAACTTACCGACACCAGCATTAAACTATCCGACAGCCATGTTTTTCCACCGCTTCTGCGACGAATTCTCCATCGCCGCACCGGTAGACCCACCGCTTCTGCGAAAGCTATGGCCAGTGTGATAAATTTACATAAATCATGAAAAGGAAAAACCCACTAGATCTATATAATATTATAAAGAAGACGATTTTTTGTCTGGGAACTAATATTAAAACGACAGAAAACAATTACAGCTTTTACAGCTGCGATTGACGACAAACGAGTGACATACTACTACGAAGGGCACCTGCTGCCTGCTTCAGCAACTTTGGTTGCTATTGGTTTCACGCAGTATGACGTCATCTTCATAATGGTGGACGAATATATCAGAAATTTCTCTGAGTAAAGGAAAATAGCAGTGGAGTAATTTGAAATGTTCTTTTATCAATTGAAATATTTGCATACATAGAAATGATTTGTATTTAATTCAATAACATATTGAATACGGATGCATTAGCTCTGGATATAAAATTATGTTCTATTCTTTTTTGGATATGAAAGTGAAAATAAAGTGGGAGGGGTAACACTGATTGAATATGGATGTTCATAACGGTAAAATATTGTTACTGTATACATTTTGCACTGGATTAAAATGAAAGGTTGACATCCTCACTATTCTTAGGTTTTCTCAACATTACACTCTAAAATGATGGACAAGAACACAAATGCTGCTGATAATAAAGTGACACCAGAAATAGATGTTGACAAGATTATTGAGCAGCTTCTTTCTGTGAAAGAATTTCCAGGGAAGCAGGTACAGTATGATGATTAAAAAGATTAACTGATATTCATTCATTTATCAGTCACAAATTATTCATTTGTGTTATCATTTACACTTGTGATACACAGCATTACACATATTTTATTTTCACTCAGTTCAGTGTTTCTTAATTAATGTCTTATAGTAATGTTAATTATCAGATTTTGCAGTATATATCACCATATTTCTACTGCATTACTAACGCATTAAGGACTAGTTTTACATATGTATGTATAAAGCCTTTTGTAGTTATCTTATACATAGATTGAAAGTGACTTTAATGATTTGCAGTGTCTAAATTTCTTTCTTTTGTTCACTTAACATTAGATTTTACTTTTTCAAAATTTCATGAAAAACTAGCATAAATCTGGGTGCATTCTGCATTAAATAATTATAAATGTAGTTTGATTTTCCATTCAGGACAATTTTCATTGCATTATACCAGAGTAATAACTATTTGTCAACATATTCTGAATTTGGGAAAACAAAATTTAGTTCAATTTTTTCAAATTGTTTGTACAAGTAAGAAGAAAATTTACTCATATTAAAAAGAACATTTGATGAATTGAGACATCATGTATGACATATTTTGAATCATAATGGAATAAACCCAGTTAACCCATTAATTACTTCATATAAACGTCTTTTCACCCCCCCCCCCCCTTTTTGAGGTCTCAAATAGTGAAAAAATGCCCTATTTTGACCCAAAACACTTGTTTGTTATTTGAGAAATTTTATGGTGTTAAAAAATGTGATCACTTTTAAGGTGCCATCCCCTATCAAATTTATGCATCAATGGGTTCCAGAGGGGGGATGTGCCCCCTTCTGCTTTGGGGTTTAAATGAGGTCTGCTTCATCTCCAAGAAAAAATTGCACTTGTGAGAAAGTTGTGTTTAACTTTTTTGTTTGAGAAATGTTGTTAAAAAAAGTGATTGATCACTTTTTCGGCACCACCCCCATTAAGATTATTATATACATCAAGGGGTTGCCAGAAGGGGGATGTGCCCCCTTCTGTTTGGGGGGTTGGAAGGGGTGGCAGTCCCCCTCATCACCAAGAAAATTTTGGACATGTGACAGGCTAAAAATGGCCTCAGGTCGATCGTAAGGTAAAGTGTTACCAACACTGAAAAGCCTTTTACTCTATCTCAATCCATTGAGAAGTTGCAGCACTTTGAAATCAGTTTTGATGGGGAAAAAAAACAATGCAAAATAGTATTTTTTTTGCAATTTTGAGACATCCCCCCATTGCCATGGTGACAGGAAATTTAAGATTGAGTATGCCATTACAAAGGATATTTTCCAGTCAACATTTGTACCAAGTTTGAACCGAGTATTGAAGCCTTTTTTTATAGTTTCATGCCAATTTGAACTTTTATTAGAAGGCTAAAATAATTCAATGAAAACAGCGATTTTTCACAAAATGCTCATGAAGTAAGTGGTTAAAGTAAAAAATATCCAATTTTGTTTTTACTTTAATTCTTTATATGGTTTTGAATTACGTAATAAATGGAATATTTGCATTTTAGGTCCAGCTTCCTGAAACACAGATTAGACAGTTATGTATTCTGTCTCGTCAAACATTTTTGGACCAGTCAAATCTTCTTGAATTAGAATGTCCAGTTAATATATGCGGAGATATACATGGGCAATTTGATGATTTGATAAAAACTTTTGAAAATAATGGTTATCCACCAGACAAAAATTACCTCTTCCTTGGTGACTATGTTGACAGGTAAGTAATACTAAGTAATAATTAATGACTGAAATTGTTTTAACCAAAAATATAATAAATATAACATCAAGTTAAAAGTTGCCCTTTCAATGAATTAAATGGCCAAAAACAGCTTATGTAGCAATTATGAATGTTATACATATTTACATCATAACTCTGAAGAAATGGTTATAGTCAAACCAGTTCTTAAAAAGGCATCCCAAAATTTTGAGTTTTAGTAGAAATAGTTTATAATGACTGCAGGGCGTTTTTACCCTTCTTTGCTGTAGCCAGTATACGGCTACTTCCCCAAGCCAAACTACTACCTTTCCCCCAAAAAAAACAATCTAAAATTTTCCTCCTATTGAAAATTTCCCCTTTAAAATAAAAGATACATCGAAGAGTAAAACTTGTAACAAACTTTTTGTTTAAAAATAGATTGTTGTTTTTCAATTTGTCCAATTAAAGCTCAGAAATAATTCTAAAACCCAAAAGAGGGATCCAATTACCTTAATTTAATACAATTAATGTTTAGTGCAATGTTCTAAAAACAGCACCGGGAAAAACCCTGCTACCTCATTATGACATGCAAAACATGATTTTTTTTACGACAATAGAGTGACCAATTTGCTTTGTTGCTTGATGACCCTTCTGTAAGTGCAAGAGTACCCAATACATGTATCACATCTGACAAAGCCCATGTCCAGGAGCCTTGCGCACATATCAATGTGCCAGTAATAGTGATAAAGCGGGAAGTGATAATATTGTACCCTCTGAATCAGACCATTAGAACCCCCCACATGACCTATGTAAATTTTCTATAATTACAAAATATGAGTCAAGGTATTCCAATGGCAATAAATTGATCTGTAAAAAATGCCTTTAACTTATATTTGATTGAAAACTAAACACTAAAATAAAGCTTAAAATTAATATGTTTTATGCATATCAGAGACATGATATTTTCCCCAAAAGTGTGAAAATCTCACATTTTCTTCCCCCACAAAAAGGGCTAAGGTGCCTTCCCCAAAGGCCAAAACTAGTGAAAACTAAAAATCACATCTGTTTCATAAGACATATCCTAGTACTTCTTTCAGCTATGGGCTTGGTAGGGGGCTTGTTTTAAAATTCACAGACTGTTAAAACTTCATATGAAGTTTTACTTAAGGATTATGAACAAGCTAATGACTTAGTTTATAAATATCCTCTAATGTGATAAATATTTACCATTTTCGGGGTACAGTGCTGTATCAACCCCAAAGTCTGCAGTAGTTTTTGAACACCTACAAATGTATTTTACTAGATTTTGAAACATGAAAGGTATGGTATACACAGTCAATACTAAATGGTCTGCTGTAATCCATGAAATAAAATATCACTATGATATAATACTGTTTAAATTTAATACATGGTGCAGTCACAGCTGTTTTTAGCTCGACTTTTCTATGAAAAGGGGAGCTATCCTACTCGCCCCGGCGTCGGCGTCGGCGTTAGCGTTGGCGTCACACCTTGGTTAAGTTTTTCGTACCACCCCACTTTATTTCAGAAGTATTACAAGTATGGCTTTGAAACTTACCATACTTGTTCACCATCATAACCTCCATCTACAGACAAGAGTACATAACTCTGTCAAGGTTTTTGACAGAATTATGGCCCTTTTTTGACTTAGAAAGTGTATTGAGCTTGGTTAAGTTTTTTGTACCACCTCACTTTATTTCAAAACCATTGGAGGTATTGCTTTGAAACTGACCATACTTGTTTACCATCACGACCTTCATCAACAGACAAGAGGACATAACTCTGTCAAGGTTTTTGACAGAATTATGCCCCTTTTTGACTTAGAAAATACATTGAATATGGGTAAAATCCACTTATTGCCTTAACCCTTTGAGATATTGCTTTGAAACTTTTAATGCTATTTCACATCATTACCCCCATCTGTACGCAAGAGAAGGTAACTCTGTCAAGGATTTGTTTTAAAAATAAAGGCCTTTTATCGACTTAGAATCTTGGTTAAGTTTTTAGTACCAGTCCACTTTTTGACTGAACTGTTTGAGATATTAATTTGAAAGTTGGAATACTTGTTTACAATCATGATTCCCAAACATGTCCAGGAGAAGGTAATTCTGTCAAAGATTTTATTTGAATTATGGCCCTTAACTGTCAATGTTTTGTATTATAGGCAAGCACTAAAAAACTTAAAAAATCTAAAAAAATTCATTCCTATCCACTTGTTCACTTTACCATAAATTATGTCATATAAACATTGCTGTAATATTCAAGGGTATCAAACAACTAGTTCACTTTAAAAATACAGAGATTCTTGTATTGCCTTTTACTGCAAAAACTTTTTTTATTGGCAAGCAATAAAAAAGTCGAGCGCGCTGTCTTACGGACAGCTCTTGTTTTTTTGTCTTGCTGCATCATATACATATATTCATAGTTAGCTGACACAAATGTCCTATAACATCACATTTTATCTAAGTTAGTATTATAATTAAATTTATTATGTACCTCTATTTGTTTAATAATGAAATAAATACGTGATCTTACAGAGGGAAGAGGTCACTAGAATCTATTTGTCTTCTTCTTGCATATAAAGTCAAGTATCCAGAAAATCTGTTTCTTCTTCGAGGAAATCATGAATGTGCTTCTATAAACAGGTAAATATTTAATATCCTAGCAAACTATTTTCCATTAAAATCCAAAGCCAAAAACTTTGGGTTTTTTTATCCCCACCTGGGAATTTTTTTTTATCCTCACCTAGGAATAAAAAAAATTTGAATAGCTGGATTTTTCTTGATATTCAGTGATGCCACTTTTATCATATTATAATAGGCTATAATAATGTCTTTTGTACTCAGAGGTACCGTATTATATGTAAAGAATACAACATGAAAGCAATTCATTATCAATTCATAAATGTCAAGCTTCTATTAGTCTAAAAGTCACTGACAAAGGTATTAGTTGTGAACCCACAATGATTAAAGATTTAAGGTCTGAAGTAATTATTATCATTGAAGACTCGCCTACATGTATACAAAATTACAGGACTGTACATATTTTGAAGTTTATATTTCATATTTACATGTATAATGTCAGATAAAACTTTAGATACACTTATGATCATTTAATTCTTGATATGAAGTGTTTTCTTCTTACGGATAGTTAAATTAATTTTAATGATTTTCTTATATTTTATAGAATCTATGGTTTTTATGATGAGTGCAAGCGAAGATACAATATTAAGTTATGGAAAACATTTACAGATTGCTTTAATTGTTTACCTATAGGTAAGATCAATAAAAACTAAACCTTATCATTTATAAAAGTAAAATCCTTTTTGTAATAAATGTTATTTTGAGATTTTATTGAGAAGTTTTCTGTGTAATATGGAGATATAAAAACTGGCATGGTTTCTCTGTTGGATAAGGTTTGATAAGTATAGGATATCGACCGAGTACGAGGTCTTTCTGTTTAGGAAAGACCTGGTCACGAATTTCATGTGACACCGAGAGCGCGTAGCGCTCGAGGTGTTTCATGAAATTCGTGACTAGGTCTTTCCTAAACAGAAAGATCGATGTACGAGGCCGATATCCAACTTACACATCGTAAAACTATACTTGCTTGAGCAATGGCTGATCCGAAGCATTTGATGTAATGCACAAATATTGTGTTTACCACAACGCAATACAGGTAAGCTTTTATCAACGTTCTGCTTAAATAAAATAGATACTTTGCATTTAATTTTGCTTTTCCCTTGAAAATAATAATCAAAAAAGCTAAATGTGCAATTTGTCAATAATAAAAAGTTTCAAAGCTTTATTCAACATTCCATTAGGCTAAAAAGCCCATGAGGATAAACATAGCACAAATATCTACATACAACGAACAGTGCATGAACTTAACAAAAAGCAATGTGACACTCATACATTGCCAAAAAGAATCTATATGGGAGCTAGAGGTAACATATAAACTAGTATTTAATAAGTGAATAGATCTGTAGTAGAAGGTATTTCAAAGAATGAATAATTATGTTGATAGTATTTCGTATCAGACAATGCAGATTCTAGGACATTTGCCCTCCGGATAGTTGCCCCCCTTTTGCTGTTGTAACTTGTCATTTGTCATCTCGTGAATAGATTTTTTGTATGCCAATGAAAATATCATAGTATATTTATTTATTGATGCTATTTTGACTTTCACAAATTTGCGTGAGAGTTTTTTATGTACTTAAGCACAATGAAATTTCGACAATAGGCGATGAATTTTGGTAGCAAACAGTTAAACAATAAAATATTTTAATACTTTTAAAACAGGGAGGGGGTGGCAAATGTCCGCCCCTTCCAATGATATGAGGACTGTAAAAAGGGGGCAAACCTCTGAGGGAGCAACTGTCCGAATGGCAATGTCCGAATACCCAGCAGACCACGAAAGACTTACATATGTTTATTGGTGGCAAGTGTGAGATAAATGAACCAAAACTATATTTTATATAGCAGATTATAAAGTGTTCTAGAATAGAATATGATCGTTCATCATAAATTTTCTATACTAGATCACTTATAACTTTATTAACATATTAAAATCGTAATAAGTATGCTGTGATTACTGCTGTATAGTTTCATTGAGTTGAAGCGTCCATATTGTTATGTTGTGAAATTAATGACAGAAGAACCATTTAGATTACTATAACTTTGAAAAATGACGCGAATAAATAAATATTAAATGTGTCCTAACTTTGATATGCTATCCATTATTTTTTTTCAAAATTTAATATAGGGATGTTGGAATAATTGCTTAGTGCATTCAATAAACATTAATTTGATTAAAAAATGTATCCCGATTTTGTAAGACAGGAACATTATGACAATCATTTACATATATTATTTCAATTTTTAATTTTTGATTGCATTTCATGTTTTCTTTGTCTGCGCATTGGCAGGTCTATTTTTTCACGTGTATTTCATGACCGGGTCTGTCTTACTAGAACAGACCTGTGCACGTGCAAAAGATAGACCTCATAACGGAATTTCTTTTGTTTAAACAGGTCTATCCGAAAAATATAGACCTGTCACAAACAATAGAGGAGGTGTGTAAGTGCAGAAATTGTAATATGTTTCCATATTTAAACATTTGTTAATATGTAGATTAATTAAAGCATCATATTTAGCTTGACTTATTGAATATTAAGGATTGCTATTGTACTCACAGGTGGCAGTATCAGTGTATTGACACCCCACCCCTGGACCCCTGCTACATCCCTGAAAAAAATAATTCACCACTAAGGCTTTATACTATAAGATGCCAAATACAAAACCAAAGATAAAATTATAAATTTTTTTTCCATTATCAAAATTATAGTTATAGAAAGGTGGAAAGCCTACTATATGTTCATTTGCCAAACATAATGAGGAACACTTCAATCGTCGTTTCTATAACTATAATTTTGATAGTGGAAAAATTTTTTTAATAATTTTATCCGTGGTTTGTATTTGGTATCTTATAGAAAGCTTTAGAGTGTTGAATTTTTTTTCAGGGTTGTAGAAGGGTCCAGGGGCAGGGTGGGGTGTCCAAACTCTGATTATACTCACCGAGCAGTTTGTGTCACACTTTGCTGTTTTTGCATGCAAGATGGTTTCTCCAATATTACTGAAGAGAATGTGCTGAAACTTTACACATATATTTGAGGGCATAATAGGAGACCACTATCTAAGGCCCATAACTCTGATGTGGATTTTAATAGAATTATTGCCCTTTTGTAACTCAGAAAATCAAATTGAATGAAATGAATTAGCACATATGGTTGATGAAATATTGGATGGCCACTCCAAAGTATTCATATGGATTTCTGCAAAAAAAAACAAAAACATAATGGACTGCTCCCAAAGAAAGGGACGCTGAGCAAGTCCATTTAAAAAAAATGAGCAGGTTAAAGGTTAATTTATATTGAATGATAAAGTAATGTTATGATAATTTCAGCTGCTGTGGTAGAGGATACTATATTATGTATGCATGGTGGACTATCTCCTCACCTCAATGATCTAGATCAGGTCAGTACTGTACAACTCTATATTAAACTCTGCTGTCTTTTAATCTTAAAGGAAATCTTTTTCTTTTACCCTTATATTACCAGGGTTTGTAGATTGCCGATCAATATTATCTGTTAAAATTTGTTCAGGCTGTATGTTAAAATATCACCTATGACCCTTGGTTGAATCTGTTGTTTTCTTTAGGGCATCTGTTGCCTCAGATAAAAATGAAAAACTTTTAATTAAATTGCTCATCAAACAAATATATAGGGGCTGAAGTCACCCCCCTCTTTCAAACAGACCTGTAATTAGTTAACAGCAGATCTTTCTGGTAAAATCTGCATTATCATAAGACTTTGCCTTAAATGTTGAGAGCTATGAGTATTTTTGTGTTTGTTTTCAACAAGATAGAAATAAAAAGGTAATTTTAGACTGTACATTTGTAAACATTTTGAAACTATTACTGATTGATTATTTCATCTTTTGGTAAAAGACTAAGTTAAGGAAAACTTTAGCTTAAAATTTCTACCTTCTAAAACCCATAGTAATGGTCCTATGCGCCCCAGTATTCCAAATGATACAGTCTGACAAAACTATGGTTGGATGGGCTTACATGAAATTTTTATCTTGTTAGCCCGGAAAATTGATAACAGTTCCAAAATGGAATCAAACAATGTGGATGGAGTAATTTTTAGCAGGTACTATTTGTCTGTAAGTCTGGGGTTATTGGTTTGGACTCTCCAAATGACTTGGGCCTAACTATGGATACAATTACTTGCAAGTTAAGGAATCAACTTAACTGGCTTATCTCAAGTTAACTTAAATGAGCCACATCAGCATAGGGAGTAAAAGAATTTTAATGAAAATATTTATGAATGCAGTGAAACTTTGGTTATATTGTTTGGATTGATAAGTTATTTTACAGACTTACTACTAGTAGAGCCTCAGATATTATTTATGTATGTAAAGAATGGCTTGGCAAGGACTTTGTGTACATTATTGTTTTTCTTTATTCTATTAGGTGAAAATTAAAATGATGATGTTATTTCAACAAGGTAAAACATTGTTTATTTGAATGCTTTTTATGTCTAACACACACTGAGAATGTTACTGCATAGCTAATTATATTTCCTTCATGACCATGTGCTTCACAACCCACTAAAACAAAGTTTTTTATGTCCTTTATAAACATTCAGTGAGCATATAGTTGCCACTTTGTCTTTCTGTCAAGATGTCGTATAGTTTTTCCTAGCAACAGCCTTTTTTACCAATATCTTTCATTTTTACTTGGTACATGTACATAACCTAACTTTGGATGCAGTTTGGGGTTATTTTGGGCTCAAGGTGACAGATTTTAAAAATAGATCTTGACCTTTTTGCTCAAAAAGCCTTCATTTATTGACTGATGTCTTTCATATTTGGTAAGTAGATGCATTCTTAAAGGTCATTTTGAAGGAGTTTGAGGTAACTGGGGTCAAGGTCACCCATTCTTTGATTCTTCTCATACAGTCTTCATTCATTGACTGCTTTCTTTCATATTTGACCTAAGTGGCATATTTATGTTAGAAAGGGATCATTATGGTCAAGGTCACAGGTGCTAAAAGTATGGGTCACTTGGGTCAAGATCAAGGTCACTGATGCCAAAAGTAGATATTTACACTTTGGGCTTAAGGCTTTCATTTGTTGACCATTGGTTGTCTTGACCTATGTTAGGAACATACATTGGCTTGTCATCAAGCTTTGGATCAAGTTAGGGTTCATTTTTTGTGTAATATCCCAGTGCTAGAAATAGACTTTTACACTTTGTTTATAAGCCTCAAGTTATTGACCTATGTGCATTTGAATTTCATTGACAAAGTGCAGGTCAGAGAGCATCTCTAAAACTTCAGAGATTTGCCTTGTTTTACATATTTGTGCTTATATGTTATTTTCATAGCACAAGCACTTTGCCTGAAAACTTACAATTGTTACTCAACAAAATTTGTTGATCTGGTTATTGTTTTATTTGCTACTATTTGTATTTTTCATTATTACATGTGTATGATAAAACTAGGTAACTTTATGCATAATAAATTAGAGATTAAGGAACAGACCTGAAGTAAAAATATTTTTCAGTAATTATTAGCCTTGAATAATAATATTGGAAAAATAGTAGCATTGGACTATCCTACCCTTACTTTTGGTGTCAGAATAAAACAATAATAATATCTTAGAAACCTGTTAAGAGATATTTCTGCTTATGTAACTTCACTTATATATCT